AATGCAAAATATTAATAGCGTTTGGGCTCTGGCAGGAGGCTTCCAAGATAAACAGCAAGGCCACAAGGAGGGAGAACTAACTGGACCCCAAGGTCCTGACGAGCTGTGGAACTTAACCTGCTTGCTTGCTCCTGGGCTCTGCTGCCATGCTGTGTTTGTCTGTTTGTTGTTGTAAAGGTAGGGCACGGTGGCCGGTCAGTTAAGGCAGGCATCATAGGTTTAGGAAACTTTGATGCAGAAAAATTTTAATTGGGAAGATTCTAGTATCGGGCTATGTCTTCTTCTCATGTGAATTATGAAAAGATACCCACTGTTTGATTTTACTGGTCCAGCCAGCCTAGCATCTTTCTTCCCTTAGGGGCAAATCAGAGAGCCAGCCACCGGCAAGGTTTTCATGGGTCACAGTGGTGATCAGGCCGAAGAGCAAAGCCCACTCTGAATTTGGAGCAAGGCTACCTACACTTTCTGGTGCCCTTGTGGCTTCTTTGGCCACTAACAGGGAGCAGACAGGCCCACGAAGGGCCACAAAGACCGCAGCTCTTAGGCTGTATTGGAGGAGAAAAATCTGACCTGAGAAATTTTGCGGGCACCTCGCTATGTACCATACGTCAAGTACATCTAAAATCTTCCTGTGAGGCAGTTCCACACGCTCTGAAGATCCAAAGTTCCTGTTAATTATCTGGCTACTCTCTCCACTCCCACTATTGAAGAAGAGCAGCCTCTGATTTAAAATTTGCATGGCCACCCTTCCTCCCACAAACCTCCCCCGGGGTGGAAGGAGCCTGGCACCTGGTTTAAAAGTAGCATTGTAATGTTTGAGCAGGAAATGGAGGACTTCCTTAGCCATAGGGTCCTGGTCCAACTTGAAGTACTCCAGATAGGACGTGGGTTCAAAATTCGTCTGATAAACATCAGGCTTCTTGGATTCCTGAAGAGCCATGGAGGGCAGTGAGCTTTGTCCAGGAGGAAGCAGCAACTGGTCTGATTGCCTGGGCTCTTCCTGGTGGCACTTAGGCTCAGCCCCACCCCCTCCCCTCAGACCAAACACTTGGATGAAGACCATGAAGCCAATGAAGGACGTTTCCTGAACTCCCCTCCCTTTGGCCATTCACCTCTGTCAACATTCACCTCCTCCCGTCCACCTCTCCAGTTCCCTCCTCCAGCGGCAGACACCACCGCAGCTCCCAGGCCTTAGAGTGGCTTTGGCTTCCATGGAAAGGTTTCTAGGCTCTTTTGCTTCATCTATTGCATCCTATTCTACAGTGGTTTTCCAAACTATTAAGAAGCATACTTAATTTTTAAACTAAATCCCCTGTGAAGCCCCAGTATAGATGACAGATAATAGGATGGAGATGCCTTAGTTGGCTTTTTCATCTGTAGAGCTGTCTGAACTACACCCGCCCTCCGCACAACACCCTGGTTGGTGCCCTAGACAACTGAATGAATGCTGATAATATTTAGTAAAATCGGGAAGACAGAAGAACAGGTTTTGGTTAAGGACTGAGGAGGGTGAGAAGATGAGAAGAGATGGGTTTAGCTGTGAGCATGCTCAGCTTGAGGCTGAAAAATCTAATCTAACCCGGACACAAGTCTAGAACTCACAGGGAGATCTGAGCTGGAGCTGCAGACTTTGTGGGATGTGTGTGCCAAGCTGTTCTATAACTGAACTGAATTTCTTCTTCAAGCCCCATTCAGATTGTTGATGGACATTAAATCTCAACCTTATAGTCTTCCTTCAGCAAGGGTGGGAGTGGGGAGCTGACTTGGTGCCAGGCACGGGGGCTGGCACTTATTTGGCACCTACAGACGTTACATTGTATAATCTGGTCCCTGATCACTGATTAACAAGAATTTAACATCCCCTTTACCCAACCTCCATGCCTGTATCCCTCTCTCTCTGTCCCATTTCCATTCCTCACTCAGCAGCAAGGGAAACCCCTCCCCAGTTCCTCAGGATGCCCTGGGCTGAGAAACCACTGTGGGAACATTTCTTCTTCTCCCACACTGTGTTGAGAATAAGGACAATCCAGGGTCTCAACGCTTTCTAGCCCAAAAAGGGCACAGTTTCCTATGTTCCCATTTTCCTAAATAAGTAAGGACAGAGGAGAAATTAAAATGTAATTAACAATACAAATTTGGTGTTTTATATACTGAACTCTGATTCTAAAAACAGAAGGTAAGCCTTTTTTAAAAAAGTCATTCATTAGAATATTCAAAAATTGACAGTATATAAAACCACAGAGAAATTACAAAAGCTCCCAGAAGTAGAAGTAATATATAATAATATACTCTGATCATAATGCAATAAAATAAGTATTAATTATAACACCAGAAAACAAGAGACTCTACCACATAGAAATTTCTTTCGTTTTCTGTTAAACACTTTTGGATCAATGAGAAAACCAAAACAAAATAAAAAACTATATAGAAAAAAATTCTACAGATAAGAATCTGTAAAACACAGATAAAGCAGAGGAAGAGTGATGATCTTAAATGCTTATATTAATAAATAGAAAAATAATGAATTAGGTTTCAAATCGAGACGTTAAAAAAGAATTAATACATTTAAAGAAAGCATAAGGATGAAATTGATGAACAAAAAGCTGACATTAAAAAAAAGAATGAAGCAATAAGCACAGAAGGCAGATAGCAGTGACGGAGTGAGCTGGATGAGGGAGATGAAGAAATGCAGGCAGAGGATGTAAACGTCACTTCAAAAGCGTTTCTGCGAAGGGGAAGAAAGACATCAGGCAGCAGCTGGAGGTGGATGAGACTTAGAGATAGAAACACTAAATATTTTGACAGTAGAGGGAAAAAGTCAAGGATGGGTGCCAATACAAGTCAGATTGACGGGAACGAGCAAGAAACTGAGAGTTCACAGCTGGAAATTGTGTTTTTCCTGAAAATAACGAGTACAGAGAGGTGCAGATGTTTGAGATTTGAGGTGAGAACCAACAGCCAAGGGAGGGCAAAGACCAGGGAAATACAGAATTATTAGAATATTTTCAAAGGCTGGGATAACTTGGTAGGTAGTTCATTCTTACCAGAAATGTGGTTTTCTCCAGCGTGCTTGGAAGTCTTGGTGCAGGAGAAGTGAAGATGCCAGATTGATGTAATGTCGGGATTTTCCTAAGCAGGTGAAACAGAAGGTAGATGGGCAAGGAAGGTAGAAGAGAAAGTCGTCTATTCATTTATTCAAAATGCATTCATTGAGCGCCAGATAATAGGGAAATGTTTAAGAGCATAAGTCTGCAGCTGAACTGCTTCGATGCAAAATCTAGCACCACCATTTGTAAGTTATATCCTTGGACAGGCTATTTAATCTTTTTTCCTTTTGTGCCTCTGTTTTTTATCTGGAACTCATGAGGATAGTAACTTACCTCACAGAGCTGTTGAGAAGATTAAATGAGTTAATTCAAAGAACTTAGAACAGAAATTTCACTTGTGACCCTGATGGAGTGATAAACAGCGGAGTTGCCTTTTACTATAAACAGCTACAAAACTGGACGAAATGTATGAGGCAGCTGCTCTCAGGCACTGGGCAACAGGCAGTGCGCAGCTGCAATCCCCGAGGGAAGGCAAACACATAAAGTGAGCCCACGGCTCACCAGCTGTCTGCCTGGGGACAGTTTTCTGATTGCAGGACAGCAAGGTGAGACCCAAGAAGAGTCCAGCAGTCCTGCTGAGCTGAGGAAGCAAAGACCAGAGTTTGGAGCTGCTGGAGCAGATGGAACTTGTGGAACTTGTGCCAAGAAGGAGGGAGTCACATAGAGGGGTCCCCAACAGTCTACGTGGGCATGTATTCATTTGCTAGGACTGCCGTAACAAAGGTCACAAACTGGGTGGCTTAAACAACAGAAATGTATTCTCTCATAATTCTGGAGGCTGGAAGTCTAAAATCCAGGTGTCAGCAAGGTTGGTTCTTCTGAGGGCTGTGAGGGAGGGTCTGTTCCATGCCTGCCCCCTGGTGTCTGGTGGTTTGCTGTCAATCTTTGACGTTCATTGGCTTGAGGATGTATCACCTTGATCTTCTCCCACATGGCTTTCTCTCTGTGCAAGTTTCTGTGTCCAGTATCCTGTTTTATAAGGACACCCATTATATTGGATTAGAACCCACTCTAATGACCTCATTTTAAATTTAATTACCTTTATAAAGACCCTATTTCCAAATCAAGATTACATTATGAGATATTAGGGATTAATACTTCAATGTATCTTTTGGGATAAATACAATTTAACCCATCACACAGGTTCCCTGTCAGGTGTTGGTCAAGAACGGGGCTGCACACGTACAGGCTGAGACTGTGTGAGAACCTGACTGCTACGGAGTTGAGAGCAGAATGAAATGATCAGAGGTCATGCAGTGCTGGGAGTCATTGTTCCAGCCGGAGTGGGGAGATCTTCTTGTCAGAGGACCAGCTGGGGCACCAGAAAGCTATGCTTTGGGAAGAAGGATCATATTCTGGAATAAAGCCAGCTTCAGACTCACCCTAACAAAGCCTAAAACCTAGACTTGACAGGGGGCACAGAAAGTCTCTGGCATATGAATCACCTGCCCAAACAAAGCACAACACTCTTCAAGGGAAAACAACACAATCCAGACTCCTTCGGCTAGATCACCCACATAGTGAAAAAATCACTAGCTAGGCCAAAAAAGGGGGAATATGTTACCCATAAAAATAAAAGCTATCAATGAAAACAAGCTCTGAGATGATCTAGATGTTGAAATTAGCAGATCAGGACTTTAAAGCAGTAATAATAGATGCGTTCAAAGAGTTAAAGGAAAATATAGTCTTGATGAGAAGCAAATAGGAAATCACAACAGAGAAAACTTTTTAAAAGAGAAATTCTAGACTGAAAATACAATGTCTAAAGTGAAGAATTCACTGGATGGTTTTGACAGCAGATTAGAAAATGGCAGAAGTGGGAGTCTGTGAACTTGAAGACAGAGCTATAAAAATTACCCAATCTGAAGACAAGAGAGAAAAGAGGTTGAAACAAAAATGAACAGGATCTCAGTAACCTATGGGACAATATAAAACTGTCTAACATTTCTGTAACTAGAAGCCCTGAAGGAAAACAGGGAGAGAATGGGGTAGGAAAAGATATATAAAGAAAAATGGTCAAAGTTTCCTGAATTTGATGAAATACATCAACCTAGAGATCCAAAAAAATCACCTAACCCTCAAATAAAGAAATTCACACCTAGAAAATAAAGTATGTAGCTCAGTGGTAGAGCGTGTGCTTAGTATGCACAAGACCCTGCGTTCAAACCCCAGTCTTCCATTAAAAAAAAAAAAAAGCCACAGCTAGGCACATCAAAGTTAGACTTCTGAAAATTGTGAAATCAAAAAAAATGACATATTACATTCTGGAGAACAATGACACAAGAATGGCTGCATTCCCATCAGAAACAGTGGAGACCAGGGGATACAGGATGATGTCCTTAAAACTCTGTACAAGCAGATAAAAGAATTCTATATCCCTTCAAAAATGAGAGTGAAATAAAGCTGAGAGAATTTGTCACCAGTAAATCTGCACTATAAAAAAGACTAAAGGAAGCTTTTCAGGCTAAAGGAAAATGGTACCTGCTAGAAACTCAGATCCAAGGGAAGGAACAAGCGGCCTTAGAAATGGCAAACTCTAGTCTCCTTTACCTCAGTTTGCTTTCTGCTTCCTCCAGACCCTCAGTCACTTTTTCTCCCTCTGCAGCCTTAAATACATCCCATTAGGAGATTTTTGTGTGCTGATCTCCCAGAGATCCAAGAGGGTCAGAGGAATAATGGAAGACATGGACCCAGCTACACCAGGACGACTGACATAGCTTACTTGTCTGCTCAGCAACTAATTTGGGGAGGTTCCCCTGGTCCTACTGCAGAGAGAAAAATTCAGAGAGGTGAACCAGGCAGGATTTGAGGTTATGATAAAGACTATTACAGAAGAGAGGAGAGGTTTGTTTTTCTTTTAATGACATCTGACATATGATGAGCTCCTCAAATAAGACTCCCTGGGGCAGCCCTGGACAGATGAGAACTGGCTGAAGTCAGCCCAGAGCAGATGTCCGCAGGTGGGCGTCCAAGAAAAAACCCACTGGCTTCAAGAAGCAACTATTAGAACTTTTACTTCTACTTACTTGTTAAATCCTTTAAAAAAAAGTCTTTTTCTACTTTAGTATGTTTTATACTTAATACAGTACTGCAGTAGTATGTGTACATAATATATAAACAAATGAACAAATATTGGGGTATAGGGTCAAAATTTAAGTGAAAATGGTTTTCACTTCATTTTTTAATGAAAAAAGGGTGGAAAATGACTGACCCCAGAGGAACTGTAAATGCTGACACAGACTGCTTTACAGATTTCATCTTAGGACTCACACCGTTGGTGTAGCCCACAAGGTTTCTGAGCCAGGTCGGCAAATTAGCATCCAGGAAGGGGTCTGAAAATACATAGTCCCGGGTACTATGCCCACAGGGGCTCATTCGGAAGGTCTGGGATAGGTGACCAGATATTTGAGTGTATTTTTAAAGAAGCAGAACAAGAATCCATGAGTTTCAGAGCACAGCTGGCGTGGGAACCGCAGTAAGAACAGAGTATGGGAACCGACCTTCTCCTAACACGCTTCAGGGGCTGCAAGATGAAGGAATTTTGCGAAGAACTGGGAGAGCTGGGCAGATGGTCTGTCCAGCTGGGAGACTCTGGGTAAGGGACTAAAACAAGAGATACAATTATCTGATCTGAGGGTTTCTTTCAGCTGTCACATCAGGGACCCTGTAAGAGGGCACAAGGAGATCGTTGCTTTCATAGATCTGGAGGGCTGTCATAGCACCGTCCTGTGGACTGGAGGAGGGTTGACCAGATGACTCTACTCCACAAGCTCTCTTCAGACCCTTTGCTCCTCTTCACCCTTACTACCCTGCCCCATTTTGGGCTCTCATCATCCCTTAGCTGAGAAGTTAATAATAACACCCCTTTCTTCAACAAGTCAGCAGCATAGGGGGTTGGAGATTTAAGATCAATAACAGATGCAATGCGTGGACCTAGTTTGGCTCCTAATTCGAACAGATCCACGTTAAAAAAGTTATTGTTGAGGAAATCAGGAAAATCTGCATGTGGACTGAGTGATGATCCTAAGGAATCATCTCTAATTCTTGAAGGCGTATGAATGACGTCAAAGTTATATATATATATATAAGAGAACTTCATTTTTAAAGAACACATACCTTGAAGGATGTAGTGGGGCGAGGGGAAGGATATGATGCCTGGAATTGTGTATAAAATACGTCGACAGAAACAAAGAAGAGGAAAGAGAAAGGGAAGAAAAAGAAGGAAGGAAAGAAAGAAGATTGGACGGAGCGAGTGTGGCGAAATCTTGCTAATGTTGAATCTCGGTGACGGCCTCCTCATACTTTTGGGTGTCTTTGACATTTTTCACTTAAAGAAAATTTTCAGCAAAGAACTGAAACAGTGTCTGGCATGCAGTGTTATGTAAGTATTGGCGTTTGTCGTCATAAAAGCTGTGGTCTTAACACAGTTGACACAGTTCTTAACGCCAACAATATGGCGGCAAACATGGCCAACAGGATCCTGGTTCTCACACAGCCCACACGCAGCGGGAGTGGGGCCTGGACCACAACAAATAGACAAAGGAGATAACGTCAGATGGTGGCAAATGCTTTGAAGAAACAAACTTTAGATGGGACGGTCAGAGAAGACCCCACCCCCTAAGGGGTAATATTTGAGCTGAGACCTGAATTACGCATGAAGGAGGTAGCAAGGCAAAGATTTAGGCAGAGGGAGCAGCATGTACATAAACCTGTTCTGTCCGGGGAAGATGGAAGGCAGTGAGGCTGGGTCCAGTGGGAGAGGAAAGTGGAAGAAGATGGGTCAGAGGAGTAGACAGTGGCCAGAAAGGAGAGAGGCATGGCTGGCTAGAAAGACAGAGTCCCCTGGCAGGCGGGAAGAATACAATTAGGAAAACCCTTGCCTGCAGTAACTCAAGAGACAGACCGAGTATATACAGAACCTGTAGCTCTAAAAGAAACTTTGGGGAAAGGACCCAAATATCAGTGTATGCTGATTGTTCTCCAGTCTTTATAGTGTGGTAGTATTATCGAGATGAGTTCTCGGAAAAAATGACAAATTTCCAAGAAGAAATTAAAGGAAATAGGGTGCCTCCAGATATTTGCGTTTTGGGGGATGTAGGTAAGCGGACTGTTTCTATGTCTTATGAAATGACAGGAAATAAGACAGGAAAAGGCTTCAGGCGATACAAGCTTATTATCAAAAACTTTCTTACAGAGGGATTCAGTTCCATGGCAAACATCAAACTAAGAGCGTTATGACTCCACCCACGCCAGCCCTTTCAGATGGCCCCAAGGCAGCCACAAGGAAGTTGACAAGGAGGCTCTGGATTCGAGGAAGAAAAAAAATGACGAATAACCATAATAACACAAACAATGATAAAAGCAGTTTTGACAACTAGGAGGAGGAAAGACCTTTATGGGTGTGGTGAGCAGCACAAGGAATGGATTGGAGGCAAAGGGGTCGAAAGGTTATTTTTGAAGAAATTGAATTACCAACCCCTCCCCACAACCCTGGCCTAATAAAAGCCTTGAAAGGTTGGAGCTTAAAATCACACTCTGTCCCCAGAGCCATACAGGTCAGAATCAGGCTGGTGGTGGAAGCTGTGCCATCCTGAGGGAGGCCCGACTCCCAGGACCCCCTCCGGATGGGCCAGGGCAGGTGACAGTTCAGGAATGATTTCCCAGAGGCTGGAGCCAGGGTTCAGGCAACAACAGACTAGGGGATTCCTCCCAGACCGGAGATTCAGAGCTTTCCCCATGACCAGGGCACAGGGTCTTCACAAGCACCTGTGCGCAAGGACCCCACCATCGCCGAGGACTATGGACTCATGTGTAGTGGGTTGGATGGTGTCTCCCCAGAATCTACATCCACTGTAACCTCAGAATATGACCTTACTTGGAAATGGGGGTCTTTGCAGATATGTTTAAGGTAAGGATTGAGATGCGAGAACCTTAAATCCAATGATGATGATCCAACGAGAGTGTTCTTACAAGAGACAGAGACAACACACAGAGACACACAGGGAAGACAGCTATGTAATGACAGAGGCGGAGACGTGGCCACAGCCAGGAAATGCCAACAGTCCCAGAAGCTAAAAGAAACAAGAAAAAAATTCTCTTCTAGAGTCTTCAGAGGGAACGTGGCCCTACCGATGCCTAGGTTTTGGATTTCTGGCTTCCACAACTGTGAGAACATGTTTCTGTTGGTGTAAGCCAGCAACGTGTGGTAACTTACACAGCCCTGGGAAACCAATGCTGGGGACACTGCCTCTTTCAAACCTCTTCCCAACAGCAGTACCAGTGACTCCTCCTCACGTGATGGTTAGAAGTCAGTCACCTGGCCACACCTAACTGCAAGGAAAATAGAGCCTGAATTTATACCAAGAAAGAGAAGAAAACCAATTACTGCAGAAAGCGGTGTTGCTGAATGTTTCCACACTGCATAGCCTGGGCTCTTGTCATTTATTTTAGCCATATATTCACGGACGGAGTGGGGTACAGATAACAGAGCTTTTAATTCACAGGGCTGATGGCGAGGACCACACATCACTCAGAGATCCCGAAGTTTGAAACAGATACAATGACAGGATGGAGTTTTGGGTTCTTTGTCCTTGGGAGTGAATGTGTCCCATGTGTGGGGAGAAGAGTGGAAGCAGATATTTGGGGATGGAAGGACAGATTGTGGCAGAAACTGCTAGCTCTTTACCGAAACTCCATCTCTCCTTCCTCTGAACATAGCTGGATGACATGTTCCTGTCCCCTTTGCACTTTGATGTGACCACGTGGTTGAGCACAGTCCAATGGAGTGAAAGCAGGAAGCACACATGATTACTGGGCCAAGGCTTTCAAAAAGCTGGCAAGCTCCTTGCAAACCCTGTCTTCCCTTCTGTGTAGATGAAGGCGCTGACAAGGCCTTCAGAGATGGCAGAACCCAGGCTTTAGAGAAGAGCCACTGCTGACCACAAACATCCCCCTTGGACAGCCGAAGGAGTGAGACACAAACTTCAATTATAGTTGAGGCATTGCATATTTCGGATCTATTTGTTATAGCAACTAACATTATCCTATACACTCAGTGGAAAAGACAGGCATGGATATGCGTGAACAGGGCTTCTGATAAGGGCATGCTAAGTCTGAGATGGATGTCTGACTGACATTGACATGTATGTGTCAGTTCAGCAGTTGAGTCTGAAACTCACTGGAAAACTTGAGATGAGAGAGAAAAGTTGGGGAGGCATTAGCACGTACTAAAAGTGGCAGAAGTAGACACCACAGAGGGAAGAGGGTAAATAAGGTAAGAGGGTCAGGGAAGCCTTCAGGATAGTCTATTATAATAGCCAAAGCGCCAGCAGAGGAAGATGAAGAAGGTAGCCAGCGAGACTGAGAAGCGGCAGCTGGTGGGGAAGGGGGCAGAACCAGGAGAGTGATTCCCAAAGAAGCCAGGGACGTGGAAAGCTGCTGAGAGATCGGGAAAGGGGAAGACAGCAAAGCAGCCCTCGTGCTTCGGAAGATGGAGCCACTGATGACCTTGGCAAGACAATTTCAATGGAGTAAAAGAGGAAAAACCACAGATCAGAAAAGGTTGTAAGAAAAATGAAGGACGACACTGTGTATCGACAACTCTCTCAAGAATTTTGCTGTTTAAAGGAGGAGGATTTGGGTGGTAACTAAAGGGGGACGTGGGGCCAGGGAAAGGTCTGTTAAAATGGGAGGTGTTTGCATGCTGATGGGAATAATCTGGTTGAAAGGAAGAAATGGACGCAGCACAGAGAAGAGAAAAGTGCAGGAGCAAAGAGTTTGGAAAGAGAGAGAGAGTGAGACCCAGAGCCCAGGAGGAGGAGCTGACCTTTGACAGGAGGGCGGACGTGGAATCCACTGGACGTGTCACTCTGGGTCTCCGACTTTGGGGCTTCTTGGTCCTAAGCATTAAAGACAGCGCCATCTCCTGAAGGCAGGCAGGCAGGCAGGCAGAGGGCTGGGCTAATGTCATGTTGTTCTTGAGACTTCAGAGGGGATCTAAATTAAATATTCCAGCCCGGTCTCCGCTGTGCTCTGGGGAATTAAGGGAAAGGTCAAGTGCCCGTGCTTGGGTAACCAGTGTTAAGGAGGACTCCAAATGGCAGGGGATTTCTGAGAATCAGGTGACTACCAGTCAACCCAAACTTGTGTGGTCCAATCCGCACCCCCACCCCTGCTCCTACCATTTTGTAACTGCCTCCTTTCCCAAGTGGGAATTAATTAGGAAAAGCCTTTTCCTTCCTCTGCCCATCAGACCAACCATCAAGCATGCACTTTCCCCATCTCACCACCTGGTGTCACTAGAAGCTCACCCTAAGCTGAGGACCCCTCTGATTCAGGTGGAGGGAGAAACTCAAACTGAAATGCTTTTAAAACAACTGCCAACAGGTGATATGGAGCCAGAGGTATCCTTGGCACTGAGGCTCTTTACAGTTGGCAAGAGTCATAGAGTCTTAGAAGTTCAGTATTGAGAAGGGTCTTCCAAACCATTTAGGTGCATCCGTTTGAGATGGCGGGAGGTACCAAGAGACAAGGAGAGAGGCAAAAAGACCCAGCCTAAGATCACTACCAATCAAATAACCTGAAGATGCAAATGTCTAAGGGACTGGAGAGTCCACTGCAGCCCAGAGAATCCGGGTGTTAACCAGCCAGAGTGGGGCTGTGGAGACTTTGGGGACAGGTACTGGCTCACCGCTGTATCAGAAGGGCGGGCCTATGTAGGGGCAGGAGCTGCCTTCAACAACCTTCCCTTATGGCTTTTCTAGGCCTTCTGAAGGTTCTCAGGGAGTAGGAATTGGTCCCGTTGTCCCTGCCCCCTGCTGCCATCTCTCAGGCCCTCAGGGAGCCACAGCCGGGGTGCTCTGAGTCCCCTGTGCAGCCCTCATGGGACCTGCCTGCTTCTCTCGTGGCAGCAAAGCTTTTGAGGATCTGGATTCCCTCCGAGGCAGATCTTGCCTCAATGAAAGATGAGGCCCCATGGGTCCCCGGGGTTTGGGCTGGCTGCCAGAGCTTCCAGTCCAGACTTTTGGGATGAGAGGAGCTGGATTTGACAAGGCCAGCTGGTCAGTGGGGAGAAAAGTGGGGAGAAAAGTGTCAGGTAGAAATACTGACTCAGGAAAATGTCTGGAAGGTCAAACTGAACTTTCTCCCAAGTAGTTTAAGGCATTTCTCTCCTGCCATATTCTCCCCTTATGCAGAATCTGGACCACATTCCCCCCTTACACAACCCAATCCGGTAAAGAAGGGGCCCCAAAGGGTCCAAAGCCCCTTCCAAGGGGGTGTGCTTTCCCAGTCACTTTCCGGACCTACCTGAGCAGTAGATGCACCTGCAGCCAGCGTCCACTAGGTGGAGACAGAGCCCCAGTGATGCCAGCAGGGGACCCGAGGCTCCTGGGTCCTGCCTTTGAGGGCTGCAGCCCTGGAAATGAATGTCTAGGCCACCAGCCCCACTCCCAGGCCAGCCTCAAGCCTGCCCCTTCACACCACACCACCCCACCAATTCATAACTTTCATTTTTATAGCACCGTGGCGTTTAGAAAGCTGATTCACATGCCTTATTTCAGTTGATAGTGTCCTGAGAGGTGACAGGGCAGGCATTACGGGACCCCACTTTACTGCTGAGGAAATAGAACCTCAGAG